ATCATTTAAAATTTTTAGTAGGCATGTTTAAAAAAGCAAAAATTTTATTTTCAATATACTTTATTCAACCAAATATATCCAAAATATTTTTCTTTCAACATATTCTCAATATAAAATAATTAACGAAATTATTTTACTCTTTTCTGTCCAACACTAAGTTTTCAAAATTTGGTATGTATTTTATACTTACAGCATATTTCAATTTGGATTAGCCACATCTCAAATATTCAATAGTTATGTATTACCAATGGCTACTATAGCAGACTAGGGGCCCAGTGCACGAATTTGTGCACCTTGAAAGGAACTGTGGGCCGCGAGGGTGTTGTGGGCACAGGGGCGGGTCTCAGCCCATCCTCTGTTCCTACACCTGCCCCCTCCCACCACAGCCCCTGGTCCCCTGCCTTCAGGTAGCCTTGTTCCTGCCGCCGCCACTCCCACATGCTGATGGTGCCAGCCCCACTCATACCTGCTGATAGTGAGGAGCAATGGGGGCCGCTGCCAGCAGCGGGTGCTAGTGGTGCTTGCTGCCCCAACTGCCCCTCAGGAGCTGGGGAGGTGGAAAAGCCCTCAGGGGCGATTGGGGCCAGCAGCTGCTGCTCACACCCGCTGATGGTACTGAGAGATCAGGACTGGCGCTGGGCGCTAGCAGCAGGTGCAAGTGGTGGCTTTGGCACCGGCTGCGGGTGTAAGCAGGGCCGGGTTCGGCAGTGGGTGTGAGCACCAGGTGGTACTGCAGCACGTGGGAGCAAAGAATGAATTTTCAGTAACCACCAGAGGCTCGTCTTAATGACAGCGACCGGGAGCCCACCTTGGTCTGGCGCCCCTGCTCACCTGCTCCTCCATCCTGTGATGGCCAATGCCCGCCATGTTCCTTGCTCTGTTGCCTACTGCTGATGCCCATCATGTTCCGTGTGCATGCCCCCTGGTGGTCAGCACACGTCATAGCGACTGGTTGTCCAGTTGTTCGGTTGTTCCACTGTTTGGTCTATTTGCACATTAGGGTTTTATATATATATATACACACTAGAGGCCCGGTGCATGAAATTCGTGCACTGGGGGGTGAGGTTCCCTCAGCCCAGCCTGCCCCTCTCACAGTCCAGGAGCCCTCAGTGGATGTCGTACTGATGGCCACAGTCTGGCAGCAGGGACTCTGAGGGGGCCTGCCCCCAGCCACACCATGGAGGCTTGGCGCAGGAGCCCTTCTGTGTTGATCTCTCCGGCTCCTGGCCTCCACTGCATGTTGTACTCTCCCTTGAACTATGGCCAGGATGGGGGTGCTGCTTGCAAGCTGGGCTTTCCTGCTCCCGGATCGCCATGGCGACCGGGTAGCAGGCCCAGCTGGAGGCTGCCCACAGGCTGGGCTTTCCTGCTCTCAGGTCTCCATGGCAACCGGGGAGCAGGCCCAGCTTGGAGCTGCCCACAGGCCGGGCTTGCTCTCCTGCTCCGGGATCCCCATGGCGAACAGGGAGCAGGCCCAGCTGGGGACTGCCTACAGACTGGGCTTTCCTGCTCCCATATAAGGCCCAGCTTGGGGCTGTCCACAGGCCAGGCTTGCTTTCCTGCTCCCGGATCCTCATGGCGACCGGGGAGAAGGCGCAGCTGGGGGCTGCCCGCAGGCTGGGCTTGCTTTCCTGCTCCTGGATCAGGTGCAGCTGGGGGCTGCCTCCAGGCTGCACTTTTCGACTTACCAGTGGCCGGATCACCAAAGCAACCCAGGGCCCAGGGGCACTTTCCTGCTCTCCAATAGTCATAGGGTCCTGGCTGGGGGCGGGGCTTAGCAGTGTGGGGCTTAGGCGCCACAGGGGTCCTGGTTTGGGGCTCAGGTGGCACACAGGGGTCCCGGCTGGGGGCGGGGCTTATGCCCTGCTGCCCAGGGCTGCACATGGGACCCGGATGGCAGCTCGCGCTGTCCCACCCTGCCTGTAGTATAGGATAGAGTCCTGGTGCATGGGTGGGAGTCGGCTGGTTTGCCCTGAAAGTGTCCCGGATCAGGGTGGGCGTCCCACTTAGGTGCCTGGCTAGCCTGGATGATGAGGTGAAGGCTGTTTGCAGCTGGTCACACCCCCTTCAGGGTGGGGGTCCCTACTGGGGTGCCTGGCCAGTTTGGGTGAGGGCCTGAGAGCCGTTTTCAGGCTGGAGGGCAACTTAAGCTCCCAGCCTCTCTTTCTTTCTTTTTTTTTTTAATTCTGGGATTTATTTACCTTAGTTGCTTAGAGTGCAGCTCAGAGGCTGGCAGCAGCAGGCCGGGAACGTTGGCTTCCTCTGTCACTGGAGCAAGCAAGCTTCCTGTTCGCTTCAGCTGCGTGGCTGCCGGCCGCCATCTTGGTTGGCAGTTAATTTGCATATCCTGCTGATTAGCCAATGGAAAGGGTGTTGGGGTTATGGTCAATTTGCATGTTTCTTTTATTAGATACAATAGATAGTATATGATCAATATTTGTAAATGTTCCATAGAAACACCTAAAATTTATATTTTTAATTTTTCTATTAAAAAAAACCTCAACATGCCCAATTCTGAAAAAGATGTCTTAAACTATTCCCTATTTAACTAAATTTTGCACAGTTTCTATTTGGAATTTTAATAGTTTTTGCTTATTCTATAGTTACAAGATTGGTATACATAGTGTTATTACTGTTTATTTTCTTCATAGTTGGCCTTTACAATTTTTTACATTGTGGTAAAATATACCTAAGATTTACCATCTTAACCATTTTAAAGTGTATAGTGTAGTACTGCTAAGCACTTCAAATAGTTGTACAACTAATCTCTAGAACTCCTTTCATTTGGAAAACTGAAGCTCTATGCCCATTAAAAAATAACTCCCCATTTCCCTCTCTTCCCAGTCCCAGGTAAACACCATTCTTCTACTTTATGTCTCTGTGAAATTGACTATTTAGGTACCTCATTCAGCATGTGAATATCCACTTTTCCCAGCAATATTTGCTGAGACTGTCTTTTCCCCATCGAATGGTTTTGCCAGCCTTGCCAAAAATCATATGATCATATATGTGAAGTCATCTTTTTAACTTAAAAACTTTATAAAAAGTTTGCTTAAAGAGTTTTTGATAACATTTCCCCTCTTCTGATAGTTTTTGATTTAATAATTTCTATCATTCACACAATATACTAGTGTATACACACACACACACGCACGCACACACACACAGGCAGTCCTCAGGTTACGTCAGACTTAACGTTGTTTCGTGGTTACGTCGCCATCTCCCATTTACAGTATTTATATTTTAAAAAGTTCCATCATTTCAACGTATGTACATATGTGCTTTATGTTTTTTATTATTTATTTACCACAAGTAAAGGTCAGAAATTGTTCTTTCTTTAAAATGTTTTTTCTGTTTCACTTCATTACTGCTGTGTATGTGCTCCATGTGAGCGACATAGGTGCTTATGTAGGTGGATTCTGACTTATGTCGAAAATAGAGTTACATCGCGTCATAGGAACGGATCTCCAATGTAACCCGGGGACTGTGTGTGTGTGTCTGTGTGTATGTATGATTATTCTTTCCATTTAGTGTAAATTCATTTTTTTGCATTGTTTCCTTTTTTAAAACAAGTGTTTGTTGTTACTTTGGGAATTCTCTGTCACTTTTCCATTTCCATGTAAATGCAGTGTAGCATCTTCAAATCTCTGCTCTACCTCCCTCTTTCACTTATAGGCACCCTTGTGATTCCATTTTTACCCAGATAATCCAAGATAATTGCCCTATCTCAAGATCATTGACTTAATCATACAGGCAAAGTCCTTTTACCATGTCAGGGGACTCATCTGCAGGTAACAGGGATTAGAAGTGGACAGATTTACAGGGTCATTTTATGCCTACTATGTATGGTAAGTCTAAAGTTAAAACCAGATCTTATTGAAAACTTTCAAGTTTTTCTCTAAATATTGAAATTTTTGTTCTGCTTTCTTTGGGAATGCCTGTCATCCACAGATTTATATTTTCCATTCTCTGTCACTATCATCTTTTTTTAAAAATAATATATTTTATTGATTTTTTACAGAGATGAAGGGAGAGGGATAGAGAGTCAGAAACATAGATGAGAGAGAAACATCGATCAGCTGCCTCCTGCACACCCCCTACTGGGGATGTGCCCGCAACCAAGTTACATGCCCTTGACCCGAATCGAACCTGGGACCCTTGAGTCCGCAGGCCGACGCTCTATCCACTGAGCCAAATCAGTTAGGGCTGTCACTATCATCTTACTCTTCAAGTTTATCTCCTCTATTTTTCTGATGCATCATAGGAGAGTATCTCTGAAAGAGTATGTTTGTATCACTGATTTTACTTTCTGCATTATCAATTGTTTGTTTTTTTGCTTCTGATGTGCATTTAAAAATGTTATTTTTTGCTTACTTCAAGTCAGTTACTGTCACCCCCTCCCCCCGCAATGATATGAATGTACTTATTTTCAACAAATATTTTTTTCATAAAGCTCCAAGGTAAAGAATTCCTCTGAATTTTGTCAAATGTAGATATGTCAAATGAAGCACTCTCCCTGGTCTTACAGAAATATTCTTATCCTCTAAGTCAGTGGTTCTCAACCTTCCTAATCCCGCGACCCTTTAATACAGTTCCTCATGTTGTGGTGACCCCCAACCACAAAATTATTTTTGTTGCTACTTCATAACTGTAATTTTGCTACTGTTATGAATCGTAATGTAAATATCTGATATGCAGGATGTATTTTCATCGTTACAAATTGAACATAATTAAAGCATAGTGATTAATCACAAAAACAATATGTAATTATATATGTGTTTTCCGATGGTCTTAGGCGACCCCTGTAAAAGGGTCGTTCGACCCCCAAAGGGGGTCTCGACCCACAGGTTGAGAACCGCTGTCTTAAAGTGACATTAAAACCGTCAGCCTCAAGACTATGTTTAATAAGTAGGAAAGTGTATGCAGACATTTGCAACAGTTTTAAAGAGAAACAAAGAGAAGTCCTATTAGCGTGGTCCTAACAAGAAGAACAAACAGGCTTAGGCATTGAACCGTTTATAAAGTGCCCAGTAGTTATTTTGAAAGTAGAGCTCACTTGCAATCTCCAAAAAAATGTCCTGCTATTCCTCCCCGTGTGCTTTAAGCGAAACGTGGGGTGGGCTGGAGTTACTTGGTGTCAATGTGCAGCAACTGCTCTCTGCCGTTTATGATCAGGGACTTCAACTCGCCGTCTTGCTCCACTTCCACCCTTTCTTGGCCATTCTCGACAATTCTCTTGGTGGTGGTTTTCTTGCCATTAATGATTTCGGTGGAAGTTGACACGGACTTGAAGTTACCCATCCCACCGCCACTACCACAAGACGTGGAGAAGGAAGAGAGGCCCCCATTCCCCAGAGAAGCGAAGGAATGAAATCCTGTATCGAAAGAAGAAAACCCACCAAAGGCTGGGAACTCACTGAAGGTGGGGAAAAGGGGCGAGGACCCTCTGCTCCTGCTTCTCCGACCTCCCAAAATGTTGTCAAACGGGTCTCTGAACAAGTCAAACGAAAATGGGTCCCGGCCGCCAAAAAACTCCCTGAAGACCTCGACCGGGTCGCGGAAGGTAAAGACACACTCGAAGGGGTCCTCGAAGGGCCTCGTACGCCTGGGCCACCTGTTTGAACCGCTTCTCTGCCTCCTCCTTATTCTCAGGGTTTTTGTCCGGGTGCCACCGGAGCGCCAGCTTGCGGTAGGCCTTCTTGATGGCGTCGGAGGAGGCCTGGCGGGGCACGCCCAGCACCTCGTAGTAGTCCACCATGTTGGACGGCCGGCCACGGGCCACGGGCCACAGGCCACGGGCCACGGGCCAAACAGGCAGCGGCGCGCACCTGGTGTCCCAGGGCGCCCGCCCGGTGCCCAGTGAGGCCGTCCGGGAGGTGTGCCCCTTGTGACGTAGCCCGCATCTGATTGGTCGAGGCCACAGAAGGCGGTGCTAGGCCTCTCCCACGCCCTACAAGGCGCTCTGTGACGTCTTTCCTGTAGTGCCAAGGCCCCGCCCACTTAGGCTCCTCCCACTGGGCCCCCAGTTGAGCTGCGATCTCCAAATAAGGCACAAAAGAGAGGAACTTAGCTTGTGGAATATACCTTTGTTAAAGTTGGAGTGAATTTAGTCTGACCCTGGGCTAAAGAACCCTCATGGAGTTTGCCTAGACAGCCATTCAACTTTTTGGCCTCAGGACCCGTTGGCTTTTGTTTATGTGGGTTCAATCTAGCGACACTCCATTAGAAATTAAAACAATAAAAAATCCACTAATCAACTTAATAGCAATAAACCCATTACACGATACCATAAATCATATTTTTATAGAAAAAATACTTTTTCAAAACAGGATTTAGTGAAGAATGGTGTCATTTTACATTTTATTTTTTGCATCTCTCTGGCTTAGTCAAAGAGAACTTCTTTTATCTTCTTCCACATTCAATCTTTTGCTGTATCACATGTACAGGGATCTCCCCTGTACACTTAAGAGAGAATGAGAGTGGAAAAGTCCAATATCATGATTATGGAAACAGTTTAACTTTGCAAAATTCCCCTGAAAATTTTTTTGGGATTCCCATAGTGCCCTGCCCATAGCAATATCAAAATGATTGAAGCTTGCTGGCTGCATTTATAGTGATGTGTCTAAACTTGGCATGCAGTGATTATTTCCACTAAAACGCTATAACACAACCATGATTCTATTTTTGTCCTTTCTTGACATCTGATTTCTCTCTACTTTCTCATTCTCTCTCTGACCCTATATTTTTTTGCTTTGATAAATGGTGAGGCAACACCAATAGAGGTCACTTAGTTCTAAGAGGAAAATGATTAACCAATGAACTCTCTAATACCCTAGATCAGTGGTCGGCAAACTGCGGCTGTTTGGCCCCTTGAGTGTGGCCACGAAGTTTCAGTCACACTGTACATGTGTGCCCGTACATGGTGTTTATGGAAGAGCCACACTCAAGGGGCCGTAGTTTGCCGACCACTGCACTAGAACAGTGGTCGGCAAACTGTGGCTCGGCAAACTGCGGACATTCAACGCAGGAGCTGCCTCCTTGTGGTCAGTGCATTCCCACAGGGGGAGCACTACTCAGCCAGAAGCCTTGGCAAGCATAGCAACAGTGGCAGGAGCCTCGCCTGTCTCCACAGCAGCGCTAAAGATGTCCAACTTTTGGCTTAAGCTCGCTCCCACATCTGGAGGGACTGTGAGAGGGCACAGGCCAGGCTGAGGGACCCCTTCCCTGCCCCCCCCAGTGCACAAATCTCGTGCACTGGGCCTCTAGTTTCATCATAAAGGGTACTAGATTCAAAAGGGTGTGTGTGCTATATCGCCAGAACAAACTGCTAACTTTGAAAGGCTAAACATAAAGCCTGGACCTGGCACTTAGTAAGCATATGAAATGAACAGTAATAAGAAGCTGATTGGGAGTAGAAGTCATTGTGAACAAAGCAATGTGGGAAGTTACAAAGCATATTTGTGGAAGAGCGAGTGATCCAGAATGGCTGCAGGGAAATAGGCAGAGGGAGAGGTCAAGTGGAAGAGCTTGAGAAGAGCAATGAGCTTGGACAGGTGGGCTGGGTCCATTCCTAGTTCTGAGGCCACGGCTGAGGAGTGTGAATTTTATTCTGGGCCCTGAAGCTGTTGGCCACGGTTTCGGAGGTGGTGGTGGGGTGTGACCATGCAAAAGCAGCTGATATCCGGAATCAGAAGGCACAGATAGGTCCTGAAGCCCTGAAACAGGACCATTGCAGCTGGGTCTGAGAGGCAGTTGCAGAATTATCTGGATTCAGTACTTTCTTACTTGGATATGGGGCCTAGAGAAAAGGGAGAAGGGAAGTCACACCTACCCAGAAACATTTACTGAGTGCTGAAGGTCTGCAAAACCATAGACTGGCACCTGAGCAAGAGAGTCATTCTAAAGCTGATGCTGAAATCCTACCTGTAAGCAATATAGATGTATACATAGGTAGGCACATACACAAGTAGCAGAGAAAGATATGGAAACTGCTAAAGGATACAAGGCAGAATAAAACAAAATGCTACAGAGATTCAAGGAAGACCAATTTGCTTCCCCTGGAGGGTCTCATAGACTGTTTAGAGGGCAATGGACTTGTTTATGCAGCTCCTTTACTTTAGGAGCTTCAACAAACAGCTCCAATCTGATTCCATTAGAAGAGCTAGGAGTGGGTGGAATGTTGGGTCTCTTAACTACTGGCCTCAGCTTTAAGAGAAATCATCTTCTAGTGGATTCCAGGAACTCTCTCGCAGACAACCTATTCTGCAAGAGCAAGACCAGCCCTGACCGGTGTGGCTCAGTGGATAGAGCGTTGGCCTGTGGACTGAAGGGCCCGGGTTCTATTCCAGTCAAGGGCATGTACCTGGGTTGCGGGCACATCCCTAGTAGGAGGTGTGCAGGAGGCAGCTGATCGATGTTTCTCTCTCATCGATGTTTCTGACTCTCTATCCCTCTCCCTTCCTCTCTGTAAAAAAAATCAATAAAACATATTTCAAATAAATAAATGAATAAATAAATAATCGATTTGTTGTTCCAAACTCTTATTTTTTAAAAAAAGCACAAGACCACATCTCTGCCCTGCTCTATGTTTCCTTGGCCACTCATGCTCCTCCACCGGGGCACAGCTCGCCTTGCCCTGTAATTGCCTGGTTGTTTGTGCACTGGAGTCCTCCTCATAGGCACCAACTATTTCTAACTTGGTTTTCTGGTGCCAGTTCCTAGCATAGTGCCCATAGGGCCAACACTTCGCATAAATATTCGATGAATGGGAGAACTAGCAAAGGATTTGTATGTCAGGTCTGCTCAGGTTCTAGGGCAGAGGCTTTACTGGATTGCTTTGTTGTGGTTCTTGGTTGTAATTCTTGAGAGTGAATGTGGATTGCCTGCTATTCATATTAGTAAACAACATGCCCTAGTCATGGGCAGAGTTGGGCCTCAAACCATCTAGGTACACAGAGGCCCCCAAAAGTTCAGAGGTGCTTCATGATGCAGGGAAGTTATAAAATCATTATAGTGGTGACTGTGTTCACCGCCCTTTGGCTCCATGTAATCTCAGATGAACTCTCATGACATTGAGACCTCGGGAGAATTATTGCTCTTAATGTTGAAACTGGAGTACACATTTCAGAATTGCAGATAAAGGCACACCAATGAGCCAGGGCATTGCTCCCTCTTTTCTCCTCACCCAGAATCTCGGTCCCAGGGATGGAGAGGGCTTGAGGAACAGAGGAGCTTCAGGGTGCATGTGCATGTGGGTATACAAACATGTGCACTCATCTATAAGCACATACAAAACTGGAAGTTTGTGGAGGAAGGATGGTGGTACACGAAAAAGGGATTCTAAGTACCTACTCTAAATACCAGAATAAGAACATGCCTCACACAACCCCAATGCTTTAAAGTTACACGTTTATGACTCTTCTAACAGATCCCTCAAGTATGGGTGGCCACTGTTGTTCATGGTCAAAATTTGGGGCTCTGTGCTTTCATCTTTGGGTTGTATAGAACAGCAATGGATCCCCAAAGGAATGAGTGAGATACTCAGTTCTGTCTGCGCTCCAACTTGCCCTTTCTGTAGAAGGGGCATTTCTATTAGGCAATGGCCAGATTTGTTCCCTGACCCTTCACCTGTTGTTTTGGGGCACCAGCTAGTACTGGGTGTTGCTGTGTGAGCACATTCTACTTGGTCCCAAAGTCCTGCCCTCTGCCTTCTCTCCATTTATATCAGTTGGATAAGTGAGTGTGGGGGTTACAGCTTTACTTCTGACTTCTGATTGGTTGTAAAGTTCAATCATGGCCTACATACTAATATCTGGGCATTAATGGAAGGTTAGTGGGAATTGTGGTAAAGAGCAGGGTCTCTACATACATATAAGTAAAAATTTCCAGGTAAATATATTTATTTCTGGATGATATGAGCCCAATGACACACATATTTGCACTTTACATTGTTGCTGTATATGCAAAACAAATGTGTGCATTCAGTGATCTTTACGTATTTTATTTTCTAAATTTCATTTTGTATTTATGAAATTATTTCTGACCAGAAAACAATTTAATAGTATATATGTTATAGTGTCTATACTTTTCTTCAACCAGGTAAAAAGAGAGAAATATTATTATAATTTCCATACTTCTTGAGTACACAATAATCTTACTCTTCATTGAATGTTGGTATTTCTGGAGATAGAATCACATGTACTTATAAACACTTCTTTAAATGAAATGATTCAAATATATTTCTTGTCAGGAATTCTATAACTAATAATATAAATAATCATCAAAGTAGAGCTTTGTGGTGTGCATAATAACTCACTGATATTTTATGATGGAGACCTTTTAACAATCATTCAATAATTATTATGGCCCAGCTGGCATGTCTCAGTGGTTGACTGTC